ACATATATTCTGTAATTTTATTTTGGTTTTTAAAGTTTATTTATTTATTTTGAGAGGGACAGAGACAGCATGAGTTGGGGAGGAGCAGAGAGGGATGAGAGAGAGAATCCTAAGCAGGCCCTGCACTGCGGACACTGAGCCTGATACATGGGGCTCAGACTCACGAACTGTGAGATCCTGACCTCAGCCGAAATCCAGAGTCTGGCGCTTAACTACTTAACCTCCTAATCGACTGAGCCACCTAGATGCCCTGATTGCTTTTTTTTTTTAATATCTGAAAATATCATATATAAAAATGTTTGCTTTTATTTATAAAAGCTATCTTAGCTGGGTATAAATTTTGAGGTCACACCTTTTCTGCTCAAAAACCCTAGAAATATAGTTTTGTTACTTCTGAGTGTAATGGTGCTGAGTCAAAGTCAGAAGTAAGATTAATTTCTACTTGTTTCTTCTGTCTTTAGGCTCTTAGGTTTCTTTGGTTTTTAATAATCTCTGCAAGAGAATAAATCATGTTAGTTGTTTTCTATAAGTTTCTCTAGAACATCATGATTTCACATAATGAGTTCAGACAATGAGAACACAAAACATCTGCAGATTTCCGTATTTTATTTCAGTAAAGGTTCTTCCGTTATATCCTTAATTGTTTTTAATCTTTCATTCTTTTGCTTTTAAAAACGAACCCTAATACTTACATGGTATATATGTAATATCTGCTTTTGATACATATAATTGTTTTTCTAATCATTGTATTTTCCTTGTCCTTCTCCCTTGTGTTTCCTGTCATTTTCACGAGCCTAATCTCCTTAACGCTGGTTTGGATTTTTGCCATCTAAATTCTGCCCAGGTTTCTAAGATATAACTTCTTCAATGGTTTTTGTTTCATTTTTTTCTCTTGTTGTCAGATCACTTTGTATACTGTTGCTTTGCTATCTTTTTTCAGTTCTTATTTCTTCTTTGGGTTTTTCTGTCACCATGTTTATATTTCATTTCCTGGGCGGTATGAAGTGATTGTTGTTTACCTTTTCTGCTGTTTCCTGGAGTAAGTCTTGTTCCAACATATAGTCTTCATTTTTCTTGTTATTAGTTGCATTCCTTTCCTTTTATATTTTGCAGAACTCTTGCATATTTTTTTTCTTTTGCTTACTCATCTTTGAAAGAAATCAGACGTGGGTTTGTGTGTGTGTGTGTGTGTGTGTTATTGTTGCTTTCTGCTACTTGTCAGGAATATTATGAATGGAAAATTAGGGACAGTGCTTTCTTTTCATTTACCTACTTGTTGAAACTTAGTTTTGTGTGAAGGTCTTACTGTTGGATATTTTTTCATTTAGTTATTTATCTGCTTATGGTTGAGGTTGTACATAATGAAGCAGTGAGGGGAGAGAAGTTGAAGAGAGAATATGGCAGGTTTGGGTATATTACCTCTGCACCTCCAATTCCCACCCCCAGTCTTTTGAAATCACTGCAGTTCTGCCTGGTTTTGCAAACTCTGGAATCAGAAAAGAAGCCAATTCAGTATAAAAACCAATGGCTTGAGAGCCTTTTGTTTATTGAATACATAGATTAGGTATTCATTTTTCTATGGTAAATTGACTTTAATCAGTAACTACAATTTTTTTTTGTAGTATCTCTCTTCAAGATAAGCATTATCTCTAGATTATCATTCCTCTGGCTAGAAAGCTGGAAACAGAAATATAGGTCCGATCTCTTTTTGAACTCCATAACCCTGGCCATTACACTAATTGCTACTCATATTTGTTGTGACCTATGCCCAGACTTTGCTCTTCCAAATTGTGTAGGAGTAGAATTTTGAAAAACTTCTCCATTCCCTCCACCCACCATGAACTTAAGTTCATAAAGAGGGTAGATGAGTCTTGAACATGATATTCGTGTCCAGTTGGTTCACCTTTCAGAGATATTCTTAGGAGTTTGTGGAATGGGATTGTCGCCATTTTATTGTTTCAGGATAAGTAGTTTCCATTTCTCTTTTCTGGTCCTTGATGATCTTGTAAGTGGATTTCAGGGAGAGGAATTTTAGAAGTTTGAATGTTTTATACATTAAAAATCTGTTTCACACTGTGGATAATAGCTCTTGTTTTTTCAGTCTGTAATTTTAGTTACACCACAAATTGGATTTCTTATATATGTAAGACCTATATGAAATTTGTATATCATCTTTAGATGATAGGTGTTCTATCTTTAAAGTTAAAACTACTTTATGAACAGAATTGCATCAATTTTTTAATATTCAATTAGCAGTGGGAAAAATGTGTAATAAAACATATCTGGACACATAGCTCCCTCTCATACAAGGTTGCTGATCTCTTGAAGTTATTTCTACTTTTATTTATATCTTATGATTTATTGAAAATATGTAGCCTTGGTTATACTATCCTTATGAATTTCCTCCCCCAAGGAATAGTGTAATATTTATGAACGTGCCATTGTAGTCGTCACAAATCTCAAATATTACTAAAACCAATCAAGCTGCTTGAAGACATTAGAAATCACCCTTTCTATCAGGGAAATAAAAGTGTCACCCAAATAAAGCATCGATTTTCCGTGTTTGTCTATACCACTCACGTGAACCAGTGGCTACAAAAGCCACTTGATATTTGGGATTCTTCTTCACGCATCCCCAAATCTGCATGCATGGCAGTCTTTGAAACCTTACCCCCCAAATGAGAAACCACAATGTCCAGGAAGGTGTTCAATTACTTGGACATTTTTTTATATAGCCTTCCTTCCCAACCATGTTTTAAAGGTTATTTTAGGAAAGTATGGGCATTCATGATGAGAAATAATAACAAAGGCCAGTGAGAGGCAAATGCTGGGCAGACTGGATGAGCAAGGCAGTTCACACACCAGCTTGGACTTCGGCACAGTGGACCAAATTTCTGTTTAGATCCTGGGCATCAGTAGAATATTCAAATGATCACATGATACAGATCTTTGAGGCTGCTGGTCAGACCTCCTCATCATAAATTACCAAATACACTGTTTGTCCAGTTTTGGTTCTATGGCTGATAATATTTACAGACTCATGTTTTTATCATTTTTTTTTTAACTCTCAAGGATAATTCATATTTTCCCAGCCCAAGTCTTCATTTACAAAGCTTGTGGTAAAGTTCCCTACTGTCAAATTTTACCACTCGGTTCAGAATTCCCATTGCAAATTTACACACAGTTTTCCAATTAAAATGGGCTTTTGTGAGTCCCCTGCTGATAGCCATTGGCTTGATAAAAAGTAACTTCATTTACAGCAAGGGTGTTAAGGGAGCCCAGTGCTAGGCTGCCTCTTCTGCTGTTGCCTTGAGCCCAGCTGTGCTGAAATATTAAACTTTAGTAAATTAGGTGAAATTGCAGCTTCCTGGCTGATACAATAATGCCCTTTTCTTTTTCTGCAAACATCTTCTGTATGAGCTGTCTGCACAATTCTGCTCTAAGAGAAATAAAATTCAGACTATCTTCCAAATCCAGACAACTTTTCCTTTTCAAGAGACTCATGCCATGTCCTGTTTATCTAACAGAATGCTTCAACTTTCAAACACGTAGCAATGGATGTCTTTATTGTTTTAGCATCACCTGGACACAGTATTAATTTTTATTAATTCCTAAAACAGCAGCCACATTCCTAAAAATGTCGGTCTTCCATAAAAGGAGCACATTTTTCTTTATTGATTGCTACATATTTTAACAGTGAGATGGAAGGAAATCATATTTCCGGTCACACCTATTTTCAGTTTTTTCTCCTTTTTCTCTTTAAGAAAAGTATTCGTTCCTAGGTCTTTCATTCATTGACCAAACACTTATTGATCGACTACTATGTGCAGAGTTCTGGTGTGTTTTCAACCAAATATTTTTTAATGAAAGTAAATGCAGGATTAGCAGACTGGAGCTAGGCAGCCCATACGTCTCTTCTGGATACACGTTATTTTTTTCAGTAACAAAATCCCTGGCAATGGCTTTGTTGAGCTGTCTGGCCAACCTGTTCCCTCAAAGGTTCTCACGTGGCTCTTTCAGGTTAAGGTCTGATGCCTCAAGGAGACCCCAAATGACATACAAAGATTTTTTGTCACTTGGGAAAGCTAACTCATTAAAGCCTTTTGAAAAGTTTCAGAGCCTTTTCAAAGTAATTTAGCAAGGTATTTGGTAGAGATGGTAGAGGCCTGGGGTTGCTTTGGGGAAAATCCCAAATCCGTACAGAACTAGAGTGAATGAGCCCCCACTTAACAACTATGGGGGTTGATAGTATACTGAGGTTTCTCAAGGGGTGAGTCAGGGGGAAAACTGAGTTTGCGCGGTGGTGGAGGGGTGCACTTGGGAAGCCTGCCAGAGAAGCGTGGACAGAATAGCTCTGGGCTGGAAGAGAAGAGCCAGGCTCTATCACACTGTCATAGCATCATTCTCCTACAATCAACGCAATACTAAGAAATGAGGTCAAACCACTATGATCTAGACCAATATGATGTAGATCAGGGGTCTGCTAATTACTTTTTCTGGAAAGGGGCAGATAATATATACTTTAGGCCTCGTGGGCCATATGATCTTTGTCCTCGCTACTGAACTTTGCCCTTGCGACGCCAAAGCAGCCTTAGGTAATACAGCCATAGGCAGCCACGGATAAAACAAAGGAATGGCCTGTAGGTGTTCCAAAGAAAACTATTTGCAAAAACAGGCTCTGGCCCAATTCCGCCTTCGGGTGGTAGTCTGCCAGCCGCTAAAGACTGCCCGGCCCCTGGAAATCCTCTCCCCGAGCCTCTGAACCTGCGTCTCAGCAAGGGGCGCTTACACCTTCTCTCGGGTACCAGGATCTACCCAACGAAACCAGGTCCCTGGCAACCTTCGCGTGGGGCCATCCGGCCGAGCGGCTACCCAGTTTTGAAAGTTTTGAAGTGGGGCCCCTTCTTGCCTCCCTTCCACCCCTCCAAGTCCTCGCCCCGCACCGCAGGGACGCGGAACGAGCCGTGGCTCGCTTGGGTGCGCCGCGTGGGCTCCGGCGAAGAGCCCGCGGGCGCGCGGGAGAAGGCGAGGGCGCACAAAAGTTGGAGCCCAATCAGCACCGAGTCCAGCTCGCGAGTCCCAACCTTCAGGTGACCCCGCGCGGCGGCGGCGGCGGCGGCGGCGGCGACCAGAGCCCGCAGCAGCTCGGAGCGCCTCCGGCAGGAGAGGAGGCGAGCTCGGCGACTCGTCACCGCCGCCCGAGCGCCGAGCTCGGCGGCCCGGGGCCGGGCGCCAGCAGGCGGGAGCCGGCACGCGCGCCCCCTCGCTCTGCCCCCGCGCGCCGTGCGGGCTGGGCCGGGGCGCCCGGGAGTGCGGGCCCGCGCCGCGCGCCGGCCTCACCCCTCCCCGCCGCCCGTGAACACCGGAGGTGTGCGCGGCGGCGGCGGCGGCGGCGGCGGTGAGTCGGGCCGGCCGGGCTGCGCTTCTCCGGGGCAGCCGCGGCCGGCGGCGGTGCGCGGGGCTCAGGATGCGGCCGGGGGGCGCGCTGCTCGCCCTGCTCGCCGGCCTGCTGCTGCTGCTGCGCCTGCNCGAGCTGTGCGCGCTGCGGCCCGCGCCCCGCGCGCTCGTGCTCGACGCGCACCCGGCCCTGCGCCTGCACTCGGCCGCCTTCCGCCGCGCCCCCGCCCCCCCCCCCGCCGCCGCCGCCGAGCCGCCCCACTCGCCGCGCGGACTCTCACCGCCGCCGAGGGCAGCCGACGGGCGGCGGCCGCACGAGGGCGGGCCGGGAAGCGGGGCGTCCAGGAGGCGCGGCTGGCTGCGTGGGGGTGACCGAGGGGCGACGCCCGGACCGGGTGGGCCCCGGCCGCGGCGGGGAGGGTCGGCGGAGCGGGCCCTGCCGTCGGGTGCCCCGGCCGGCCGTCTCCTGGGCTCGGCGTTCCGGTCCCTGCTCTCCCTCCCTCCCCGCGCGAAGCCCCTTCAAACTCCGGGGTTGGGGAGCTGCTGGGGTGGGGGAGCCGGGGCGCGCGGGGACGCCCCGGCCAGGTGCGAGCGCGCGGCGGCTGCCGAGCCTGCCAGCGAGGTGTGACAACTTAGTTTTCTTCCCGGCGGTGCAGGCTCTTGGCGGAGGAGGGCAGGGACGCCACCCGCGGCACCCCCGCCGCGCTGAGGACGCTCCGGAGCCCCGCGACCCAGCTGCCGCGCCCCACGAACAGGTACCCGCGGCGCGGGGCGGCTGCACCCGCAGGACTCGCTTCGAGTTGTCTGGCTGGGACCGCACGGCTGAGCGGGTGTGGGTGTCTGAGTGTGTGTGTGTGTGTGTGTGTGTGTGTGTTTGTGTAACCCCTCTCGCTCCCTCAGCCTTCCCCTGTAAAGCCTGTTCCTCCGTGCAGAGGTTCTTCGAACCAAGGGAGATGCCCAAACAGCTGCACTTTAAAAAATGAGTGCTGAGGTCCCTTCTCCATAAGCGTGTGTTGAATCCCCCCGCGCCCCCCTCCCCGCCAGAGAGGCAGCTCGGCCTGTCTACACAGGGGTTTGGTCGGTTTGCTTTCTGTCTTTATGCTTTCCAGGGCACCCGTGGAAGATTCACGTTTGGGGAATTCTGTGCACAACACTGGGGATGTTTTTGTCCTTAGTGAATGGAGGCTTCAAATTGTTCCTTTTCACTCCGAGGACTGTTTATCCGTGTGCAATAATTTTTTGGTTTAAGTCTTTTTTTTTTTTTCCTGATTATAAAAGTCATTCATGCTTGTTGCAGAAAGTTAGATAATATGAGAAACGTATTAAAAAATATTCACCGGGAGCTCTGCCACCCAGAGATCCTGTTAAGGCTTCGGTCTGTATTCTTCCAGGAGTTTTTCCTATGTGCATAGATTTTAAGAATATACCGAAGATTATACTTTGGTGTTTGTGTTCTGCCCTTTTTCCCTAAAAAAAAAAAATGGACAATGCAGTACATTTCATTAAGCCCCCCCCAACATTGCTTATGATTGTTGCATAATTCATCATATGAACGTGCCATCGTCTATTTAACTGTTTGTGGTTGCAGACATTTAGATGGTTTCCTGTTTTGTTTTTTATTTGCTGCTAATAATTCTGTTAAGTGCATCTGTGTATGTAAATCCTCATCTGCAATTAATTCTCCAGGATGGAGCGAGAGAAGTTGTATGGTTAGGTTAAAGAGTATGTACATTACATTGTAGCTTCCAAACACACATGGCCAATTACATCCTAGAAGCGTGGATTCAGTTTACATTTTCACCGAAGAATGTACTGCTTTGTGCCTCAGCATTGCTGTTCTCTCTGCAGTTTTGTGTATCGCCTCTTTTCCTCTGCTTATCGCTTGTGACTCCCTTCGCCTCTGTTTCCTTCTGTATATTCTTGGCTCTTGGAGAGTCTGAATCTTCGGATTGCATGACCCCAGGCCCTTGGGTTGCTCCTGCATGGTCCTGAGAAGAGTCTGGGCCGACCTGGAAGAAATCTTGAAGTGCAGGGGCAGCCTCTCATAACCCTGCGATTCGAATTTTACAGCAGGTTAGAGGCACTAAGAAATCGTGGAGTCACAAAGCTTTAGAGAAAAATAGTGGCCTCACGCTTTGCGTTGCAGGGTTGTGGACTATAGATAGCGTAGCTTTCCAGTGATCTGGGGAGCACTCCATCTCTTTCCAGGCTTTGGTGCTGTTCGTTATCCATTTTGGCGTTTCCCCTTGGGGAAATTAGAAAGAATGCGCTAATTGAATTTTCTGGTCCTAGGCCTTTTTTGAGGTAATTCTTTGATGAATTTTTCAGCTTCCTTTGGCATACTTCTTTTCTACTTTGCATACTTCTTGAGCTACTAGAGGTAATATATATGTTTTCTCTGAATCTAGTTCCAAGATTTTTTAGACCATTCTGGTACGTGTTTTAAAAACCTGCCGGATTTATTTTCTCTCCCCTTGACCATTTATGATTCCGATGATTTATGTAGCTGGGGTGGGATTTTTAATTTATGCTACTTGATTATGTAGAGGAATTCTAATTTCTTAATTTATCTGTAGCAGATCTGCTCTTTCCTTCACGAGCCCCGCACTGGAGGTGATAGGTAAAAGTTACAATCTAATAGTAATGCTAAGAGCAATAAAGATGGCCAATACTTATCGAATGTTTTTTTGGGCCAGATACTGATCTAAGCACTTTACACTTATTACCTCACTTGAGCCTGAAGAAATACGGAGGGAAACTATGATTCAGTCTTCATTTTATTGTTGAGGAAACTGAGGCACAGAGAGATTAAGTAAATCGCCCAGAGTCACAGAGTTCGCAAATTTGAGGAGTCAGGAGTCAGACCCAGGCCATGTGGATCCAGAATCCCCCTCTCTCTCTTTTAAATTTTCATGCTTATTCATTTTTGAGAGAGAGACAGAGAGACAGAGCATGAGCGAGGGAGGGGCAGAGAGAGACAGAGACACAGAATCCAAAGCAGGCTCCAGCCTCTGAGCTGTCAGCACAGAGCCGGACGCGGGGCTCGAACCCACTGAGCTGAAGTTGGATGCTCAACCGACTGAGCTACGCAGGCATTCCCAGAATCCCACACTCTTAACGTCCCTACTCGATAGCCTTCCTTAGGTGCTAGGCAAGATGGTGTTTGTGTGTGTGTGTTAAAGCTTACTCAGATGTGACAATTTAAGCAACTCTTTCTAGTGAATATTAATTCTTTCTGGGAGCAAATACTCAGCCTTTCATATGGTTTCCACCATCTCTTCTTACTTAAAGATGATGCCCAGATCTAAGGGGAGAGGGCCTTAAATGATGTGTGGGTACAGTTAAGGGCTGGGCTTCATGATCATGGTACCTTTGGCTCTGCCGGTCTCCAGGGCGATGTTGTCCGTTTTCTATCTGACGGCTGCTGAGAGCCAATTAGGAAGCTGCAGCGTGTGGTCCCTTCTTTTTCCTCAGGTTTTCTACCCTCCTGGGACCCCGCTCTATCGACCTCACCTGAGTGAGCTCCTGATGCTCCGTCTCAGGGATCTGGTGAAGATTCTCTTTGAGTCCTATACTGCACCGTCACTCTGCGACATTTGCTCTGATGCTCTCACATCCAGCTCTGAGTAGCCAGCTCCACAGCCAGTCTGCTGGCTATTTCTGGAACCCATCTAAACATAGAAGAGCCAGAGCTGGTTCAGGAAATGAAATATCAGGGCCTCCCTCGACTTGCCCCATGCCCTGTTCTAAGTTCATTTCAGGCTGGGAGGTTGCCCAAGAGGTGATCTCTTTTCAGGGTCCCAGTTGGGGGAGGAGGTCAAATCCCCTCTACCCTGTGGTCACCCTTACCTTTCTGTCCCCAAGCCGGAGCTCTCCTCTTCCTTTCTCTGTCTTCTTTCCACCCATGCTCCCAGTTAGAGATGTGCAGGCTACCCCTGTCCCTCTTTTCTTTTGTCCTAACTCAGACCTCCAGGCCTGATTCAGACCGAAAGCCTTAGTGGTAATTTGTGGGGACCAGGAGTAAAAAGGGTGAGAAAGCTCCAGAAGCTGTGTCTTCCTGGTAAGATGGTTAACGTGCTGAAGAGGCAGAATGAGAGGGATTTGGAAAATCTTTTCTTGGGGCAATAGCATAACTTGTTTTGCTTGCCTAAAGCTCAGTATCACCCTATGCTTTCTCTTTGCATTTTTTCAGTAACAAGTCTCTCTCTCTCCCTCTCTCTCTCCAGAAGCCCCCAAAGGATGCTTTAAAATGACTTACGGAAAAATCATGTCAGAGTCAGAAAGACCAAAGAGAAAAATTTAATAATAATTCTCAAAACATAACCCCATAACAGTGGACATTTTCTCTTTCTAATAAGCTTTGTCAGAGTCTGTCATGGGTTTGTGTCTGATATCCGGCTCTTGGATTTATTTGTCAAGTCTGATATTTTTTCCATGTTGTATTTCCTTTGTGTTACCTTTTGTTGTTGTTTAAATCATACCTTCTTTCCCAGTTCAGGACTTGAAGTGAATGCTTTATTTTTTCCCCATTTTTCTTTGTAACAGAAATACTTACTACTAAATATTTACTCCTAAAATTTACTACTGTGAATTTTCCTTGGAATACGGCTTTGGATCCGTTCCTCAAGTTTGGATACATAGTGTTCAGATTTTTAAAATGTATTCTAAACTGTTTATAATTACATTAAAAGTTTTTTAAGATTTTGTTTTGTTTTTAAGTAATCTCTGCACCCAATGTGGGGCTCCAGCTTACAACCCTGAGATTAAGAGCTACATGCTCCTCCCACTGAGCCACCCCGGCACCCCTATGATTAAATTAAAATTTTAAATAACTTTTATATTTGTAGTTATTTAGGAGAGTCCTGTTTAAGACACTTGTTAAATGTTTATTTTTGAGAAAGAGAGTGCAGGGGAGGGGCAGACAGAGAGGGGGACAGAGAGAGAGGGAGACAGGCTGACAGCAGAGAGCCCATGGTGGGGCTCGAACTCATGAACCATAAGATAATGACCTGAGCCAAACTTGGACACTTAACCGACTGACCCAGGAGAGTACTTTTAAATTTCCAAGTGGTTGGAATTCAAAAAAATACGAATTGAATGTTCTTTCTCTCTCTCTCTCTCTTTTTTTTTTTTTGGAATATTCTCTCTTAATATTAATTTCATTTTTGAGGATAAAAGAAATCCAGTAAAATCTGCTATGATGTCATAAAGTCAGTTCTCAAATTAGGAGAGCTCAGACTGTGGTGATGTTAACCGCACGGCCAGAGCAAGTGTCTGTGAGTAGCCGGCTTGGAATTCCAGGCTCCCTCCATGGAATTATCCAGGTCCCGGTTGTGACTTGGCACCTGTGAGTTCAGCGTCCATTCTGGCTTCAGCGTCCGTCGTGGTGACCAAGGACTGGTGGCTGGCTGGCTTTCCTGGAGCGCAGCGGCTCTGCTTTGAAAGTCTTGGTCATCGTTGCCCACGTCAGTGCGCCATCTGGGATGATTGGACTCTGAGTTTTCCAGACCCGTGGGGACCCTACTTCTACTTTTGTGCGTTCCTATAGAGCCCTACCTGCTTCTTCCATTAATGCACTGTCTCTGCTCCCTGTGACCCTTTGTCCCTGCGATGGAACTTTGACTTGTCCCTGTTTGAGACCCTGGCTTCCGCGGAGACCAGACATCGAAAGTCGGTTGTGTTATATCCCAACTTATTATTGTTATGGAGAGATGTTATTTCATGTGTTTTTATTAAAAATTTTTTTAACGTTTAC